GCTCAAAGCTTGATATTGTTTTGAAATGGCCAATAAGAGATACTTAAAAGAAGGGGGGATGTGGATTAGCACGAGGTGGGACTATGTAGCATTCAATCTTGACAATCCTAGTGATGAAGGTAAACACACAAATGGATTAGCAGTTAGTGATAGCCCTTATTTCTGTGCCCAATCCTACAGCTGCCTCACACTGCGAGTGTCAGAAGCAATGCCAGTTTGTTTCTGTGTTAGAGAAGGCGACAGTGGTTGCCGGTGTGTTCTTCCATGTGTATGTGGTAAGCACTAGAAGAGGTGCCAGCTAGATGTTGGGGTTCAAACAGATGGGAGACAGGCATCTGGACAGCTGGCATTCACTGCCTTTCACAAACCCTTTACACCAACCACCTCCCCACCATATCCCCATTCTGTCATTCTTGCCTTTGCAACATTTCTTACAGCTTTTCTTTTCACAGCCTTAATCTAGACTGGGAGATATAAAATAACAAGATAAGTAATTTGCGAGTTGGATTTCATGTGCAAACAGATTTAAAGGTGTGCCGAAAGGAATGAGAAAAACATTTACGGGGTTTAAATGTCATGGGAAAGCAGGTCAAAGTTTTTGAATTCATCTAAATTTGTGCATTTGTTTGTGTCTAGTTGTTTGTATCTTTACATGTAATGTGAAAGCTAGACCAGCAAATGTAACTGGGCCATGCATCTCTATTTGATGAGCACAAAGAGCACTTTACAAGTTAATGTCAGTCTTGCTTTTGCTTACTCGCATCTCTGTCCCCATTGCAGCCTGCTTGTCAGATTCAAGTCAGTGTAGCTTTTTATATTTGAGCATTTTACAAAACCATCTTTTCACTTGCATTTACAGATTCAAAGGTACTTGTGATTGCTTTGGCATTGCGATACTTATACTAAATTCTTCTTGGCAGCCCCTCAAGGATTTTGAGTTTCCGTGATTGCTGTGACCGCAAAACCTGCCTCATTTTGTAGAAGGAAATGCATGGAACTCTGCCACATTTGGAGTTAATTTGGAGTAAAAAAAAGAGCACTGACAAAAAATTAATTAAACAAAAAAAGTTATTAATGAACTTGTTGACAGATGCTTTAAGAGAATATTCATTAAAATGACACTGCCAAGATACTTTTCCTAACCCTTGATTCATAAACATGTAACCACCTTTTTTCTTTATAATAACGTAACTGTAAAGATTCCTCTTCCCTGCAGGGCGGCCTTAGATCATTTCTCTTGTCCAGATCAGGGGGGCCAACGAGAGCAGATGTCAGGACGATGCTGGAAGCAATATCCTGTTCTTTTCTCCTGTGATGTGTCACCACCTACAACTTTGTAACTTTAAAAGCCATTAAGATTTAACAATAAAGGTCCCTTAGCAGGGGTGCCAGCCTTGGCCATGTGTTAAATGAATAATGTCGCCTGACAAATACAAATGTAATTTATATGCCTCATGTAACAAAAGAAGTCTAATTTTCTCCCATTTCCTTGTACGCCTCCAGTGGTTTTCAAATATTTTCTCCACTTTATATATGTTTTATTCATTATTCATGTAATAGCATTTGGCAAAGTAATAAACTGATATGGAATGAGCTCAGTCTCAATGACTTTAGCGGCATTATATGCATCATACTTAATGAGACTGCAGAATTAACTCTAAGTAGCGCACAATTAATTACAGAATGCTACAATAAAAAATTGTAATTGAAGTCTAAAGATTGCACATTTTGTGACATTCCTTTTTTTGTTTTGTTTTCAATTTCATGCCATCGCCAGACCAAAGTGAAAATATACTTAAGCCCAGAATGTCAAGTATTCACTCCAAATGTCCCTGCCCCATTATCCGTTCCCTTTAGTCCTACTTTACTCAGTGCAATGCAGCTATATGTAGAAAAACAACCTTCTAGCTGGAAAATAGGTTAAAACAGGTTTACTATTTAGCCCCAAAGGCACATTTGCACTTTATGGATTATTAGGCCACATGAGTAAGCGGTAATTATTTGACTTGCCAAATTCAACAAAGTAATGAAAGTGTTCAATGGCCCCACTGTGTCTATAAAAACACATGTTTCAGTCGTAATTAACCAAGGACTTCTTTGCAGGAGCAAAAAGAGACACACTGCAAATAAACATATAATGTGCAAAATGCAGGGGATTTCTTCTGACATGGTGGCAGTCAATCAGTAGACAATCTAAAAATGCACCCACACAAATATGAGGAGGATTTGCAAACAGAAGCTATAAATATTCTAAGTATGTGTGCTTATCACTGAGCCACTACATTCTTTTAGATTACAAAATAGTCAGGTCTAGTAAATGCAACCCCAAAAGAATGAGTCTTGGCACGGTATGTGTTTTCACATGTGTGGGGGTCCACTCAACTCAGATGACACCGCTTAAGCAAGCAGAGAGCAAGTAAAAGAGTTGAAACGAGTTGAGAGAGAGGTTTAGGGGGGAATACAAATAGGTCGGAGATAGTGATCAATGACTCAGGCAAGGAGGGGGTGAGGAAGACAGTGAGTGGAGGAGGAGGAGGAGGAGAAGGAAGGGGTGAAAGGAGGAGGTGATAAAGAGGGATCTGAAGACGTGCATCGGACACCTCCCTAACGACCACTCCGAGGCAGACAAGATGAGAAAACCTGTAGGCATGAATTAAAAAACACAAGCACCGGCATGCGCAAATCATTAATGGGAGTTTTTGACTGGCATCGTCCCTCATTTTGAGAAATGTCATCCGTGGGGTGCCTCCCTGTGAATCATTTTAATAGAGAAAATACAGCCGTGTGTGTGTATGTGTGAGTGTGTGTGCAGACATGAGGGGGTGTAGGTATTGTTTGTCACCAGATGAACTCGTGGGGTGAGACTAATGAAGAGTGCAGAGGAGAGGAGGGAGGCATTTTAATTGGCCTCTCTATGCCTCACTCCCCTCTCTTCTTCTCTCGGGGAGAACAGGAGATTTAATGTTGGTGTTTCGGAGGTAAGAGGGGATTTCTAACAATGGCCCTGCAAATGCCTTGTCCTACTAATTGGTCAATAACCCATCATGTTAGACATAAGCTGTTCTTGGAGCACCAGGGATGAGAGAAGCTTTACATTTGCACATCATCTGTCATTCATAATGATTTTTTTGCAATGCGCTTGTGCTGCGGTGTCTTGCTACTAATTTGCTTATTACAAAAAAATGTATTCTGCAATGCAGGAACATGTAGAATTACATATTCTGACATGTCTTAACATAAAAGTAAGGTGATATCATGGAAGAATTTGCATTTATATTTCCGGAAATATATATTTTTTGTATTGCCATGATGGCCATTAGTCACTCTGTTCTGACCATAATGTCGTCCAATCACCAGATTATGACAAAGTGTACTTTGTGCGAACGCATTGCTGCAAAATTACAGTAAGTATTGAGTCAGGCATCATGTTTAATAAAAAGATGAAATGTCTCTCACCTTCACCTAAAAAGCTAGATTTGACACTTGGTCATCTAATATGAGTCATCCTTTCAACGGCTTTACAACGACACTTTGCTAGAAGTAAGAGATGCTCGCCTATGAGCTTAACAACTAACCGACATGATTTACTGATCAACCTTCCCCTCTATCACAGAAAGAATGTAAGAAATGTAGACACGATAACAGCAAGACAACCACACATTATTTAAACAGCAGTGACCAAATACGCACACATGCACACACTTGACATCCATGACAAAATGTGTCGCTCCTATAGCTAACACTGAACACCAAAAGGTGTCATTTTGTATCAACTCATTAAATATTGGACCGAATGAACGAAAGATCAAATGTCCAATCAACAGCTAATAACTTTGTTGTGGATGTTTATTGACGTAACATTATTTTACATTTCTCACTTAAAATGTGCCTTATTCAAACTGTAATCTGACAACTCTACCCTAGGCTCTCTCTGAGGGGAATGGCTAATCACCATATTCCCGCTCCCCTCCTCTTCTTTCCCATTTCCCTTCAGCATTTTGTTTCTCTGAAATCGCAAAGTTAGCTGCTAGCTCTTCCCTTAGGCTCCATTCTCTATCTTTCCCTCCCTCCAGTCTTTCCTCCCTTCCTCCCAACTCTTCCCTTTTTCTACTCTTGTCTTCCTCACTGTGATTGTCAGCTATACTGAAGGAGAGAGAAGCAACGTGGAGGTAGAGTGAGTGTTTCAAATGGCATCACCCTCTTTTTCTGCCCCTCACTCTCTCCACCTCTTCCTCCATCTGCTTCTGCTTCTGCTATGGCACTGGTTCATCCTCATGTATATTTATGGTACAAAGCTGAAGAGTCAGGCAGACTTAAAATGAAAACTTCAACTAGAGAGGGCTTGTGTGCTCATTTTGTGAATGTTCTTGAGCATCGGTATGTGTGTGTGTGTGTGTGTGTGTGTGTGTGTGTGTGTGTGTGTGTGTGTGTGTGTGTGTGTGTGTGTGTGTGTGTGTGTGTGTGTTTGCTCATGCAGGCGTGTGTGTTGAAACAATGGCTGTCTTGAGAGGCGGGCTGCATGGCTGACTCTCCTTTGGTTTCCCTAAGAGGAGGAACGTGGGAAAAGAGGAATAAGTGCCATTCATCTTTTCACTGGCTCATTCACTACCTCGCTTTCTCTCTTTCACTCCAAGTCTTTGTTCCCTTAAATGGCCTCTTCAATTCTGGCTAAACCTCCATTTGAGATCAATTCCCTCTCGCTGTACCCCAACACATATGCAATTGGCACACAACACGCACAGACATAACACAGGCAGGAGCTTTTCCCAAAGTCTCTCCCGTGCCTGAGCTAAAATCCTCAGGAATAAACGTAAGCTCAAATATTGTTGCTTATTTGTGTGCGGACTTAAACAGCAATATCTCCTTGATCTTATTTTCACCACTGCACTGGCATCAATTACTGTTTTTAGAATTTTAATCCAACACCAATGACACCACATGCATGCTCTCTCTTTTCCCCTCTGTCATTCAATTATCACACTCCCATCAACCATCAATACCTTCACATCCTTGGTGTTCATGCGTGTCCCTTCCTTCCCCACGAAAATGTCATCTACATCCACCAGTATGTGCCGGTCCAGACCCAAAGTAAGTTTCCTGTCAGTGAGGTAGGAGATGGCATCCACCAAAATGAGTCTGTGGAGCCAATAGCCCAGTCCCTGGCCAAAAAGTACCCTTCTCACCCCATCGAAGAGTCCCATGTCCTGCACCACAGTGGCGTGAAGGCCTGAAAAACCAAGTCCTGGATTATCTCCACTGTCTGCCCCTGCTACCTCCTTGGACCGTGCATGCAGCACAGCCTGATAGGTGGAGTGATTGGAGGAAAACGAGGTCCAGTCCTCCCCAGGTAACGCCCCTCGATCTGCTCCAGGCTTGGTCAGGTGGAGGAGAGGTGAGCTAGACACCACACAACAGTCCCAAAGTGCCTGGTTGGTCCTAAGTACCAGTGGGAGGCCTCGGAGTTTGAGGAGCGGTGGGGAGTTCTCAGTGGAGCGGTAGAAACCAATGATGCCCACTCTGTACTCAGTGCAGTATTGATGCAACAGCTGTCTGTTCCATGTGTCCGCATGTGCATACTTTAAAAGATTTTCATAAATGATGAGTGAATATCTGCCGCGGCCTTTTTCTGTCAGCGGCGGAAGGTCGCCCTTCCCTGAGGCGATCTCCATGCGAAACTGGAAGTGTGCTGACTCCAATATAGCCACAATGTCCTGACCCAGCTGGGAGTACTGGGACTCCACAAGCACCAGCACTAGTGGGTCGGTGTGGACATGTGTGTGAGGGGGGTTAGGGGGGTATGGGTTTGGGAGTTGATGATACGGGGAAAGTGGCTGGGAACAGGCAGGTTCTGGGGATTGTCCAAGCTGCATGGAAGGGGAGGAGTTGTTAAACAGAAAGTAGGCAGAGAGGAGGAGGGAGAGGAGACAGCAGGAGGCCAGCAGGAGCAGGAGCCTACGTAAGTGGCGGCGGAAACGCACAGCCACCGTCATTGCAAACTAGGGAGGTATTGTGCGGAGGAGGAGGAGATGTCTTAATTTAGTTTAATGGAGCCTAGAGAGTGTGAGTACAAGTTGAGGAGCCTAAGAGATTGTCTTTGCGTGCGAGAAAGGAGCAAAGCCACTCAGGGGTGTGTCATGTCACCATGGCAGGTGGAGAAGGGAGTTGTGCCGGATGTTGGGGAACAAAAGGTCTTCATTGAGGAAACACAGTTGAGGTACTCTCCTTCCAATCCTCACAGAGGACTCACGCGCAGAGACAGAGAGAGTGATGATTAATGCCTGCAGAGAAAGGGGACAAGGAGAAAAGAAGAAAGAGTGCATTTTTGGGGCAAGGTTGAATAGTATGCATTAGTTCTCTGAGAACCTGCTCGCGGGAGTGCGTGTATAGGTTGTGCCACTCTGGGGGATGTGAGGGCACAGCTGGTATCTACAGAGCTGATTGAAAACAACTTGCATCCTAAGGGCTTATCCAACCTCTGGCACACACACAAAAAGTGACATCACAGTTAAAAGCACAAACACAACAAAAACGTGAATCCTCACAACTAAACAACAGCTGGCTGTGCGTTAATGTGGCAATGTGGGGAGGTGAATGAGACTTCCACTAATCAGTCCCATAAAGCTCTTTGGAGAATTACTCTAATTGCGCAAAACTAGGTGCACTTCTGTCCTATTTCTGAACCTAATCATCTGAAATACCACAAAATTAAAGTTGGAATCCTTTTGCCAGGAGCACCAATCTGGGGGGAGCCTGTGACAGAACAGAGGAAATGGAGAGCAAGAGAAAAGTGCAAGAATAAAAGAGACAGAGCAGAGAGGAACAAAATGCAATGAATTATAGAAAGAGACAAAAAAGACCAGGATTAGCATCTTAATGTATGTGCCGGGAGCCAGGGAGAAGAAAAAATCCCACAGCATTTCTTTCTCTCTCTTTTTCTCTCTACGCCTCACTCTCCCCCTCTATCTTTCTACACCCCCTCTTTCTCTTCTTCTGTCTGTTTGAATATCAATAGTCTTCTCTCACGTTCCCCATCCTTCTCTCCTTGTTCCTCGCCTTTAGAGAACATACGCAAAGAGAAGGTCATAGAGGAGAGACAGTCATATTCCTTAAATATGATACCAGAAAATGGAAAAAAGGAGAAGGGAAATAATTCACAGCACTTTTTTTATTGCCAACAAAGAGGAGAAGGTAGTATTTTTTATCACAATTGTAAGATCTTAATTGGTACTTGAATTACTACTCTAATTATGTTGGAGATCATCTTTGGCTTCAGAGTTTCGTTACAAGTTTAATATGTGGATATATTCTCTAGCAAGAAGTTGCGTGTGCACTTAATCAATAGAGGAGGTGAATTGTAAGTATATTGGAAATTATGAAAAACATAACAACTAAGTGTTTTAACCTGTTACAGGGGGTATGCCTGAGTCTCTATTAAAAGCCACAGGAGGGCGCTTGAATTAGCTCAATAACACGAGAGACTTCTCGTGAGAGTTTTCCTCTGGTCAACTTAATAACTAATACTTTAAAGCATGTAATGTAAAAAAAAAAAGCCTCGAGCAAGAGATGCATGAAGCTTTCCATGATATTTTGTGAAAAACCTGAAAAAAGTTTTGCTCCATTGTAAAACTCAAATTGTAACCTAAAATGTTCCTACACTTCAACATCGAATTTGTGTATTTCAGTCGTTATATAATATGAATAAATACAAATTCATATTTAAAACGGGAATCTTTTTTTAAATATAGTAGGCTACTCGAGCAAAGTTAATACAATTAGATTAACAGTGGCCCCCAGTGTTAATTCTATTTTATTAACTTTGGATGAGTATATATTTGTCAAGTATAGGATAAAAATGTTTTGAAAAAAATGTAAGGAAGAAAACATTTCGAAAATTGTTTAAAATGTGGGGATGAATCTCTAATGTAAAAGAAAGCGACTTGCAGCGTAAACATCACTAGCTATTACCATATTAATATATTAAGTCACTAAACTAACAGCAGGTAATTCCAGAGTTTTCCATCCCGCTTCCTGACGCTGAAGTTTATGTTAAGAAAATAACACCGACTCGCCCACTTACCTCTGACCGAGGCTGAGGCGCTGCGGAGCGTGGAAGAGGCGTGCCGGCGGACCGGTGAGTGAGAGGCTGCTTCGGGTGGGTCCGGGGCTCCGGTCTTGGTGGTGCACCACTCCCGTGTGTTTTGGATGCTCAAGCGTTGTGCCATCTCCCCCCTCTCTCTTTCTCTCTCTCTCTCGCTGCTTCTCCACTAGAGCAGCAGATGCGGGAAACCGGAATGATCGGCTGTCCTCCCCCCTTTCATCATTCTTCTCTTTCTCTAAACTCGCGTCTCCCCCGCAGTCTTCTCCTCTCTCCCGCTTTGCACACTTCTCTTTTAATCTCTGCTTTTTAAAATAGAGATTAGCATACGGGGATGGACAGAGAAGCACCGATAGCACGCCGCCCGTTAACGACTGACAGCCGAGCGTAAATGCTGTGGTTTAAGAGCGCCTGCCCAAGTGGAGGCGATCGAGAGAGGGAGGGAGAGAGAGAGGTGGTTGGTAGGAGGGAGGGAGAACAAGGGATAGGTAAAAGGAAATAAGGGGAGGGGGCTCGGTTTGATTGACACAAACAGCCTTTTTCTCAGCAATCACCGGCCAAGGATGGTAAAAGCTCACGGCCAGTTAGTTGGTGTTAGTCGGATGGGGGATGCGCACCGGTGCAAGTTAATGGCGCGCCTTTCTGATTCCCTCTCGCTCATTGCACAAGTTGTATCAGTCAAGGGTAAAAAGAAAGAAAAAAAGGAACACTTTCACTGTAGCTGGTGTAAAATGGCATTTCCACATTATCAGGAATGGTATCAATCATGTGGATGAATACAAGACATTTCTGATATTCTCTATTCGAATTGCACTCATTCATGCCCACATGCAATTCAGGCCTATTATTCTTACTTCTCCAGAATGTCAATCAACCATGCACAGCATGTCAATCACACAGAGTTTTTAACTTGATTAGGGGTTCCCTTCTCTCTTCCTACCAGTTCATCAATCTCTCTAACCCATTTGCACTGACATACGCTCACTCACACACATCTCAATGAAGATAGCGGGCCCCTCATTCACATTGTAATGGCCTTACAATAGAGCTTATTTAGTGTGTGTGTGTGTGTGTGTGTGTGTGTGTGTGTGTGTGTGTGTGTGTGTGTGTGTGTGTGTGTGTGTGTGTGTGTGTGTGTGCAGGCCCGGCTCTAGACAATGTGCAGCCCTAGGCGAGATTTGAGTTGGCGCCCCAGCCAGAGAATCGTACAATAGAAAAGATAAAGATCAATAGAGTATCCAAGGAATACACAATAGAATGGGGGTGGACGTCACGTCCTCTAGGGGGGTCCGGAGGTATGCCCCCCCGGGAAGATTTTTTTAACATTTTAAAGGTCACATGTCAATATCAAGGCACACTTATGTTTTTATTTCGGCTGTGACTTTGTGTGTGTTCAGGTTGAGTTTGGCTGCGTTTGGCTGTGTATCCTAAACAAGGAAATCACGGA